TTGTGGTTTTTTTTTGTTGTCATACTTTAACGAGCTCATCGGATCAGAAAGGCCTCGTTTGTTCCCTCGATACAAGACCAGAAAATCAAGATGTGCGACACGTATACCAGCCACCGCGTACACCGGCTGCCCGCCACGACCTACGAGGGCCCTTTATCTCGCTTTCACTACAAACACCACACATTGCGTGGCCCAAGAACAAGTGAAAGCCCAAAGTCTCTCGAGCCGCAATTTTAAGAGTGGATGAGCGAAGCGCAGCAGCTCCCATCGAAAACGAGTCGTGCCGAGCAAGGCAAGTTTTAGAAGAGATATAATAATAATATGAATATATTGCTGCGGCCCACGCCACCTAAGTAGCAACCACCCCCCCCCCCCCCCATCCTATAGGTGTTTTAAACAGTGCTGCTGTTGAGCCTCTTTGATTGAAATTTGTGGAAACAGCCGAGGAAAATATTATGCGAGGCAGATAAGAGACTTCGCGTGGTGCATGCCGCTGTAATGCCAGTCATCACTTTTTTTCGCGTATGTTTTGACACCTTTTTCACCCTGTATTTTACTTTTTTGTACGCTAATGTACAGTGGAGTCTTTGAAAATGATGGAAACCGTGTTAGGGAATTAATTGACCAATTTTTCAAAATCCTGACCACCAATTCAAACCGATCGGCTATACTTCAAAGTAAACTGATATTGTTTCGCATCCATTTTCACAGTTTGTTTCTATGCAATACCCGAATTTTCACGATCGCCATCACGATTTTAACCGCCTCCCTGACACGCTGATTGTTCACGCAGTGGTCGCGGACAAGTTTGTATGTACAGTATCTTGGTAAGCTATCTCTGTTTGCAGGTAAGTGCTTGGCTATGGCACTTACCCGGAATGAAGTTACATCTGAAGACGCAAATATCACCGAGTTTCTTCAAGCAGTTTTTTTTTGTTAATCCACGCCAGCCAAACACGCCGGTACTTTTCGAGAAATCGCAATGTGCGTTCTCAATTTTCGGTAATAACTTTCGGCGAAGAAACACCCCGAAGGTGTGCTCCCTCTTCGGGGAATACTAAATCAACTTGCCTCCCTAGCAGCCCTCAAATTTACATCGTGAGGCAAAACTAAACGAGCGCAAGCACAAGGAGACAACACGGCAGCGGTAGGAGACGGAGTCGGTAGGTACGGGCATGTCAGTGGCGCATTTCAGAAGTGAAGAGGAGGCGCTGCGTGACGCACGTGCACACAATATAGAGGGACTGTTTCTAAACCTGGACCTAGATCCAAAGCACACGGATGTTATTTGCGTTCCGCCCACATCGAGATCAGGCCGCCGGAATTGAACCCGCGTCCTCGAGCTTAGCAAGAAAGGTGGAATCAGCGTCACTTTCACAACACCACAGCACCAAAATCATTTACTTAAAGGTCGCTCCACATTTTCTTACTAATGAAGAACATAATTAGAAGAGGGGAGACCTGTGCGATGCACCGGAAATGTCCCTGTCTTCACGGATTATTCACACTAAGCATTCTGGCTGCCTAAAGTGCTCCGAATCCTCTTCGGCGGCGGCGAGATTCGCCGAAAGGACCCTCTCCGCGCCGATCGCTCTCGGACCGATTTTTCGCGGCGTCTGCCACAGGATCGGTTCGCCGCGAACCAATATGTCAGCGATGTCCGAATGAATGTAGTCAAGGCAAGGTTCAAATTTTAAGAAAAACTGTATTGCGCTAAGTTACAGGTGAATCGGCAGAGGTTACATGAATAAGGAAACTGGACTCGGTGCAGGAGCTCGATCGGATACGTCCGACGCCACTCGCGTCTCGGCTCGCTCTGCGGTGCGTTGCTCTGCGGTCCCGGCTCGAATCTCGGCTCGTTCTCCCTCTCTGGCGATGCGTTGCTATGCGGTCCCGGCTCGAAGGTTCGGTTTTGTTTTTTGAATGTTCGTTGAACCAATGGGCAACCGCGTCGAGTGGACGCGCTCAGGGCTCGGAGTCCACGTTAACGCAGTGCAGCGTTTCCCGAGCAAGCACGGAGACGCTGCCGGAGAAGGAGGCGCTGCCGGAGAATGAAACGCTGCCGGAGAATTCAGCTGTGCGAACTCGAGTGCCGCTGACAAATAGGAGTGCTAGCCACAAAATTTGAAATAAAAAATGGCGACCAATCCCGGCTCTCTCATCATGTCACAGTCAAATAACTTGCGCTTAGCAGAAACGCTCATTGAATTGGTGCGCAACCACCTCGTCCTATACGACAAACGTCACCCTAAGCACAAGAACAGCTTGCTAAAGGACGACTTAAGGAATAAAATAAGAAACGAGCTCAGATTGACTAATAAGTACGAGTTACTCTACCTATGTTGATTGGCTCCTTAGTCGCGAGCACCTTGATATGTAGGTGCTTTTCATTTCTGAGTTGCAACGAGCGTTGAAACGCGCAAAGCAAAAAGATCTAATTTTTCATGGGCACCCTGAACTTGCGAGCAGCCGACAACATCTGGAGAATAGCGCACCCATCCCAAACTCATCCCGAGGTTGATTGTTCACTAGGCAGACGGCGCACTACGGCTATTCGGCGTTCGGCGTAAGGTTCCTAGATAAAACAAGTTTTTAGGGACCTTATCTAACGCGAGCCCGTCGCATCATCTGGCTACTGGAAACGAAAACGCGCTGAAGTTTCGAGAAGATGAATCGAGAGGATGCTGGTTCGACGCTGCGACAGAATCTTTCCTTCTCGTTTTTTTTTGCGATCTCTTAGAATATATTTCACAACGTCATATCCGTTACGGAAATACGTCAGCGGAGCCGTAGTGGACACCGGCGTAAAACACTTTCGTATTAAAAAAAAACAGACTTGCAAGACCATCAGCGTGCGTATTAACAGCTTCTGTGGGCATCGGTTTTCTTTTCCTCGACTTTATCAACGTCGAAGCACCAGTAGAAACTCACCAGATCTCGCCTACAAACAAAGCCCCACTCTGCGCGAATGACAGGCACAATAAAAAAAAATAGAAGCTACGCTGACTTTTTTTTTTTTTTTTTTGCAGCGTGCACGTACACTCGTATAGTCAACTGCAGCGACGGTTGCCTCGAGAAAAGGCGCCTCTGTTGTGCACCCGATCGCAGAGTAAACATCCGTCTCCTGTTCCCGCGCGAAACAAACACTGCAGTGCGCAGCTGGAGAGACGCTGACGGATCCTGGTGTGGCGCAACGTATGGGAGACAAAAAAGGCGCGGCATTGTTGCCACGCTTCCGGGCCTCGCTTCTGTAAAAACGCTCTGCGGTGCCGGGGTACAGGGATGATTGCTCGATCACGCCGCACTCTTGTTAACCCCTATCGGCGAGAAAGCGATGCCGGAAAACTAGCAGGTGAAAAAACAATACCGGCACGACGACGACAAGCAATTTATTTCTGCGGCGTGCTCCACCCTGAAAGCGCGCCTAAATGCGCGCCCCACTTAAGTTCCTTAAGCCGTGGGTCTGGAGATGGGTCTGTAAAGTTCGACGGGGGTCTGTAAAGTTTGACGAACCTACCAACCAGAGAATCCTGAAAATATTTTACGCGCGAAAAAATCTGAAAAAAAAAGAATCCGTTTATTAGCTCCACCAAGTTCCCACCCCGACTCGGGTATCGCCTAGAACGCCTGAAGACGTGGGAGGACTGAGAGACCCTACTGCGTTCAGAGGACCTGGTAGGGAGGATCCTGCCGACCGGGCTGCCAGCGTCATAGAGCACCATCAAATGAACGCTTGAGCGCGACGGTATCGTGCGGGGGCCCTGGAGCCTGCGTGCTCCAAACTCCTCTGTTGAAATAAAGTTTTGCCCCTCCTTCTCCGATCGTAGCAGCTGCAAGGGGGTCCTTATGGGACTCCCTGCAGCATCTCAAACTATTCACGAACTCTCAATAAAGTTCTTGACTGAATCACTGTCAGTGCACAGAAAGCGACGATATGCTGCCAAATCGATGAAGATCAATCTAACCACACTTGCTCTTTTTTTCAGTTAAGGTACCTTTAAAGGGACACTGACGAGAAAAACGATTTTTCGCTTACGAATAAAGTTAAGAATCCCTAAATCACCACTGGTACCGCGAGACAACACTTAGTAAGCGGAAGACTCGCGAAAAAAAAAAAACGCCAGTGGCAACACCATCTTGATATTTAGGCACCAAACACCGTGACATCATATAGATTTTGACGGCGTCCAGTGAATCCTACGTAACTTCTAATTGATAAGAATGAGGCACGTTATCAACCTTAGGTACCGTGTGAAGTTTCAGAAAGTTTAATCGAGCCAATGTCGCGAAAATACGAGAAATACATTTTGAAATTTGCGATGTCACACACGGACTTCAACGCGAAATTCAAAAATAAAAACTTCAGCCTTGATTTCTCCTCTAATACCGAACTTATGAAAGTGAAACTTATAGCATTACAGTTCTCAGAGTACAGTTCATCAATCGAAACCAAGTCACTGTGCCACTTTAGGGTCCCTTTAATATGTTTTTCAGGAATGGCTGACACTGCTGCCTGCGACCATTGTGGCAGTGATGAAACAACTTGGCACATTCTGTGTGAATGCCCACAATACTGCTCGCAGAGACAGTCACTATGCAATGCAATAGATGAGCTAGACAACCAGCCTCTTTCGGAAGAAAGACTCCTGCGCTGCCGACAGGACTTCATGTCGCAGAAGAAGGCTGTGAAGGCGCTCATGCGCTTCTTGCGTTCAACCGGCCTGTCCAAACGACTGTGATTGGAACTCCCTGAATGTGTGTGCATGTGTTTTTTTTCTAATTTATTTTATATCTCTCTATAGCTATCCTCTTTCCAACCCTTTTTCCCACCCCCGTACAGGGTAGCAAACCAGTTCGTCTAGGTTAACCTCCCTGTCTCTTGCTTTTAATTATTTCTCTCTCTCTCTTATCAGGATATGCTATGTATAGTAAGATCTTCAACTCTTGACATCCCCTTTAGAAGCCCTGGTGCAACATGGTATGCGAACCAAGCTGCTGACCTTTGTTGTTGCCGATGGCGTGGTGTGCGCCGACCGCCCTGGCGACGACGGTGGCTGCGGAAGACATAGGCTCGGCCTTGACGATGGTCGGCGCGGGGCAGAAGAAGGCCCTGGTGGCCGCCATCGCTCCCGACGTCTTGACCAGCACGGGCTTGGTGACGCCGCCCACGGTGGTCGCCGCCACAACGCCACCGTTGCCGCAGGTCGCCGACGCTACCGTCGCCGTTGGCAGGGTCCGGCCTGCGCACAGAGACGAAGAGATGATGCAGGGCAACTTCAACCAACTGAAGTCACAGCATTCTATTATTGTTCCTTAAGTAAGGTAACATTAGTAGTTACCAGATCGTTCTTCTCGTACGTAAGGCGATAGGATAGGTAAAGAAAGCGCGCTTGAAAGTCAGGTGCAGCTTACAAGGTGTGGTGGTCTAGTTATTAGGGTGCTCCCAACGGTCAGGGCAATGGAAGCAAGAGACGAAAGAAAGTACACGTCACAGGCGCTCGACTGTTGACCCAAAGGTAGCCGGATCGAATACCGGAAGCGGCGGCCGCATTTCGGTAAATGATATATAGAGGCCCGAGTACTTAGGTCTAGGTGTACGTTAAAGAACAAACACCAGATTGTCGAAATTTCCGGAGCCCTCCCCTACGGCGTCTTTCGTAATCATAACATGGTATTATTATTATCATTATTGAGTTGTTGTTGTTGTTGTTGTAGTAGTAGTAGTAGTAGTAGTAGTAGTAGTAGTAGTAGTAGTAGTAGTAGTAGTAGTAGTAGTAGTAGTAGTAGTAGTAGTAGTTGTTGTTGTTGTTGTTGTTGTAACTTCAAAACTCTGTTGTATTTCCCGTCAACAGCGGACGCAAACGAGCATCCACCAATGGGCTTGCACTCTAGAGCGACATCATAAGCTTAACGGCCGGTGACCCCGCCTTCGCAGAACTTTGCCGAGTAGATGAGCTGAACCATTAGTTTGGTGCGGAGGCGACCGGCTTCCACGCATCAGGTAAATGCTCTACATTTGAAGCACATCTGTAAATGTACAGAGTTAAATAAACTTTAAATCCAGGTTATTAGCCACGTTAAAGCTGACGGTCGTCCCTATTACGATTGTTCGCATTTCCCAAAACAGATCGACTTCTGAAAACGATCATTTCTCGAAATACAAATCAATAAAGCTGCAAATGACGTGCGTTGCGGACTCTAAGCATATCCCGAAAGGTAAACGTCCTGAAAAGAAAGCTATGCTTTGAACAGAAAACATAGAACGCGAGATGCGAATGTTTATTATCTCTGTGTAACCAACAGCTGAAAACTATGCAAAACTAGGTTCGCTCAAGTAAAAGCGGTGATTAACTTCCGCGCGGGGATCACGAAGGTAAAACGGTGGAGCAAGTCCGCCAGAAATTTCCGCGGACCGCCGAACGAGTGATCGAAGAATTGATATCGATTCGCACCTTCTAAAACTGCTCAGTGACCCCACTGCCTTTCAATATCGGGCAAAGCGGAAATGGCCAAGCAGCGCTCCAATCAATCATTCGCTTCTATCAACGGTAACCCGCTGATTGCATTAGCGATATCCATAACAGATAGTGCGCACCACTCTCGTGTCCTCGATGTGCCATTAACCACTGGTCTACTAAATACTTTGCACAGATTCATTACAGGCTATAAGATAACGCTTCGTTAAGCAACTGCTGATACCGTTTTGCGAGACTTTCGCAAGTGTTCCTTTGAAACTCCTTCGGGAATAAAATCACAATATTAACTTGAACATTTCCTCGTCATATAGCGACTTCAGGTACATTTAAAAGCCTTGAAAGTTTCCCACCCTCCTTACCTTTGAAATAAAGCCCTTCGTCATTTTCAGTATGGCTACCAGCCATAATACCGGCAAGCCTGGATAGCGATTTCCGAGTATGAGTTAGGTAGCAGCGCTGGCGCACAAAGCACACGTTTTGCATATTTTAGCTTAGAACGGTTCCTAGAGAAGCAAATAGTATATATCCAGACGCCATGACTGGCCCCCATAAGAAAAGGTCATCAATTGACAGTTTGATCGATTTAGTAACAACCGTTGTACATCAAAAACAACACCACCGATTGACGGCTGCAATCTTTCTTGATATCAAAGGTGCATTCAACAATATTCTGCATGAAGCCAATCTAAAAGCTCTTGTAGAGAATGGTATTGGCGGCCGCGTGCATCAATAGTGAGTTAGTTATCTTCAAAAAGGAACTATGTTCATGTCTACTGCCGACGGCGACACAGATAAGCATCCCGCCTATCGTGGTGTGCCTCAGGGTGGAGTTCTGAGCCCACAATTATTTAATATCGTACTTGTTGGCCTCGCTAAAAAGCTAGGAGGCAAAATCTCGGTCTCTATGTACGCAGATGACATTTGCGTTTGGGCCACGAGTGCAACGCATTTGCAAGTGTACAGATGAAGCTACCACGCGCGGTATATCTACAACGTCCGCGTATGCCACAATACCTGTGGACTGCAACTGTCACCTACGGAAGGTGCAACCTTGGCAATCACGAGGCAAGTCCATAGCTTGCTACCCCGTAGTGATCCATGGGAAAGTAATACCTCGGTAACTCACCCCACGTTCCTCGGAGTTATCATGGAGAGAGAGAGAGAGAGAGAGAGTATAAAATGAGGGAAAGGCAGGGAGGTTAACCAGAAATTGAAGCTTTCCGTTATTTGTCTTGGTCGAAGCACAAATCTGCGCTAAGTGAAAAAAAACGCCCCGTATCGGAATGTTAATCTGCAAATGTCGTCGAAGGACGATGGTCCTGCATGTGGGAAGAGTGAACAAAACATTTATTTCGTGCTATGCGCAAGAAATTGCTGAATGGCATTCTGGAGGCGCTGCGTTAGAGTGCCTCGAGCGTGCAGCGGAGGCAAACGAGCACATCAAATCAAGTCACACGTGAGACATGAGCGCCATCTGGCAGTTTTCGTGGAAAACGAAGCGCGCGGCTCAGAGACGGGTGTGCGCGCCCGTCTCTAAGGTGATAAGGTGTAGAACGCAAAACGACGGGTAGGTGCCACCACCGTCTTGTCTTAGCAAAGCGTTGGAAACACTCGCCTTTTCGTGCAAGCGTTGTATGGTCAGTGAAGCGTGATAAATGCTACGGTCTTTCGAATTACTTATTTATTCCATTTCTAGTAAAAGACGCACAGACAGAGTATATACGTGTTGTTATGGTACCTCATATATGCGCAATAATTGTTTTTTTAATTGGCAATCGCACAAGTATGAACGCTGAAGCTTGAGCAACATTGGTGGACACCGTGGATGGCGTCGGCCGTTTAAGGTGTCGGTGGGTGCTGTTCAGAGTACCCGTTACCGTTAAGGGTGAATAAACAGACAAATGTAGAGACAGACAGACAGACAGACAGACAGACAGACAGACAGACAGACAGACAGACAGACAGACCAAATTCTTTGCGTCGAAGGTCCCTGTGGTAAGAGTGCTTCTCACAACCAAAATCGAAACTGGAAGTGAAACCGACAGCGGAAAATAACCGACGAAGACGAAAGTGTGCACGGGGTCAGACGAACGTGAGCGCGTGAGCTTCGGAACAGCGACGGGCAGAGGAAGAACGCGGCCAGCTAGCAAGAGCGCTAGGCGTTGGGCCTCAGGGGACCGAACCAACGAGCGGGTGTCACCAACCCAACCGGGACGAGCGTGGCATGTTCCTGAGGCGAGTGGCGGTTCCGGGCCGGGCCTGACATGCTGTTCCTGTGGCGGACGAGCGTGCGGGCCAGGGCAAGCGGCTGATCCTGTCCAGACTCGGGTCCGGCACAACCAGTCACCGAGATCGTGGCCACGGTGCCACGTCGGAGCCAGTCCGGCACAACCGCCAATTGAAGGTGCGACCTCGGTGTTGCGTCGGCCGCAGCGTGGGGCCGCCTGGTCCAGCACGAGCAGCTGATGGTCTGCTCGTGAGCTCCCGTGCACTTGGCAACCTTCCCGTGGCGAGGTTGCGTCGTCGACGCCATCGTCTTCAGCGGGAGCGTGAGTGGCACCCGACGGAATTAGACTTCCGAGTAGTGAGGACGCGTGGGTTACTCGCGGGCGCGTAGACATAAGGACTGTATGACTGAATTACGGAGCCAGTGTGTTGTACAGATAGCCACAGTGTTGTGATCGTTTTGTGTGTGAAGTCAATAAATGTTTCTCTTGTCCTTGTATTGGGTTTCTGCGTCTGAGGGCCCAAGAACCACCACAATTGGCGAGCCTGCCAGGATGGCTTATTAAAATCTAAAGTCATTACTCAGACGCAGCCTTTGTCATGGACAGGGAGAAATTTATTGCACTTGGCCGACAGCTAGGGTTGGAGAACGAGGAGCTCAGAGAGTGGGTTGAGCGAGAGTGCGTTGAAGCTCGAGATGAGCGTGCTAGGGAGCGCGAGATCGCGAAAGAAAACGCTGAGAGGCAGCAGAAGCTGTTAGAGCAGCAGCAGAAGGTGCAGGAACAAGAGCTGAAGATCCTCGAACTGAAGCTTCGACTTCAGGAGAGCGCAAGCAGGGTACAGCCAATGGTGGCTGACGAACAAGGAGAATCCAGCATGAGCGCCAGAGGAATAACAGAGGTATGCAGTCCTCATAAACTGATTCCGCCCTTCAATGAGGCTCGGGACGACCTCGACGCGTACCTGCAGCGATTTGAACGGGTCGCCACGTGTCAAGGGTGGCCGCGTGAAAAGTGGGCTCTTTCGCTTAGCCTATGCATGACAGGAGAAGCGCTAACAGTCATAGGCCGGTTAGATCCAACAAGTGTGCTGAATTATGATCAGCTGAAAGCGGCGCTTCTTCAGAGGTTCCGCTATACTGCGGAAGGCTACCGCGAAAAATTTCGTAAAGCGAAGCCCGAAGAAAACGAGACTGGTCTGCAGTATGCTGCAAGACTTTCCGGCTACTTTGACCGTTGGCTTGAAGTGGGAAAAACGGAGACAAGCTTCGCTAGCCTGCGAGATCTGATGATAAGTGAGCAATTCATAAAGGGTTGTTCTCCGGCACTCAGGATCTTTCTCAAGGAGGGAAGTTGCAAAACCCTGAGTTCGCTTTGCGAGACTGCCAATAACTTCATGGAAGCACAGGCGCTCACAAACTTAGGAAGAGAACGGATTCCCAAGGATCCGGGACCTTCGGTGTCCAAGCCGGAGTCCGCGAAGAAGACGGAGAAGCCTGCAAGTCGCTGTTTCCTTTGTGACAAGGCAGGCCATCGCGCAGCCGACTGCTGGTCCCGCACGAAAGGGAATACTTTCAGCCGATGCGGAGTATGCAAACAAAGTGGACACAGCAGTGACAGATGCCCCGGTAGAAAATTTGGCAAAGACCAGGCATCATGTATGCTATCGGAAAAACGCGAAGACTTGACACCTGAACACCATAAGAGTGGCTACATTGTTCTCCAAGACGGCGGAACAATACCCATCGTCAATGCCACATCAAGTCGACGATCCGCGAACGTTGGAGTCGCTGACATGCCTGTTGTGGAGGGGTTCCTAGAGGACAGACCAGTGCATGTGCTTCGAGACACCGGCTGCAACACGGTCGTCGTGCGGCAATCCTTGGTTCCGAAGGAGAAGTTCACGGGAACGACGAGCCCAGTGTACTTACTGGACCGTACTGTGCGATACCTCCCAGAGGCAAAAGTCCTTTTGCAATGTACATTGTTTACTGGGGAAGTACTCGTTAAGTGTATGACCGACCCATTATACGACGTAATTTTGGGCAACATCAAGGGCGCGGCATTGCCGGATACGTTACCTATGAATGAGTCAGCACCACAGCATGACCATGGCCATGTGGAAACAAGGCGTGCAACATATGCACAGACTCTAGCAAAGGGAATGCTGTCAATGGTGAGCAGGATGTATCTGGCAATTTGCACGCAACCCAACCAAGATCGAATGCGGAGGAAGCGTATGAGCCACCGCATGAAGCCATGGAAAAGTGGCCCCTACCTGAAGAAGTCCTCGTGGGAAAAGCAGGAGAAACGAAGAAGCACACTTCTTTACCTGTGATGACTCTGCCTGCTTTACAAGTGGGAAGTGAGGCGCTTAAAAAATATCAAGTGGATGACGAAACTTTGCGAAAGTGTTTCGAGGCGGTTGGCAAGAAAATCATGTCGAACGATCGAGAAACGGTGTTTTTCATTCGGGACGGAACCTTATTCCGCAAGCACAACTTGCCAGATGGAACTAATTTGGAGCAACTTGTTGTACCACGACAGTTGCGTGAGGTGGTGCTGAAACTAGCCCACGAAGGCATCTTAGCCGGCCATCAAGGTATCACGAAGACAGTAAGCGGGGTCACTGGAGAGTTCTACTGGCCGGGTGTCCAATCCGACACAAAACGCTTCGTGAAATCTTGCGACATCTGTCAACGGATGGTGCCACGCCACCTGGTGGGACGCTCTCCCTTGGGCACCACGCCTATCATCGAGACACCGTTTACGAGAGTTGGCATAGATATTATCGGCCCATTGTCACCAACATCTGAACAGGGCAATCGCTACGTACTGACAATGATAGATTTTGCGACGCGATACCCCGACGCGGTAGCACTTCCCTCCATTGAATCGAGACAGGTTGCGGAAGGTCTCCTGGAAATGTTCTCTCGCGTTGGCATACCTAAAGGGATCATCAGTGATCGCGGCACGTCTTTCATGTGAGCAGTTATGAAGGAATTCAGCCAACTGCTTTCATTCAAACAACTGCCTACTACGCCATACCATCCGATGGCCAATGGTTTAATTGAACGTTTTAATGGGACATTAAAACGCATGATAGGGCGAATGTGTCAAGAGCGTCCGAAAACCTGTGACCGTTACATTGGTCCGTTACTGTTCGCCTACCGAGAGCTTATCCAATGTAGCACTGGATTCTCTCCTTTTGAATTATTATATGGTAGATACGTGCGAGGGCCAATGGCTGTTCTCAAGGAGCTCTGGACGAACCCTCGCCTCGATGACGAGACCAAGACGACATACACGCATATGATGGAGCTGCGGCAACGTTTAGAACGCACCTGTGCGCTCGCACACGAAGAATTGATGAAGGCGAAGAAGCTGCAGAAAGGGTACTACGATAAGAAAGCGAGACAGCGCGAACTTGTCCCTGGTGACCAGGTGCTGGTGTTGCTACCAGCCGATGCAAACAAGCTGGTGCTTTCCTGGAAGGGCCCCTTCCCTGTTATTGAGAAACGCAGCGAACTGGATTACCCAGTAAACCTGGGCCACAAGGTTACGCTCTTTCACATCAACATGTTAAAGAAGTATGAGGAGCGCAAGCCACTAAGCCAACGAACGGTTGCAGGCGTTACTTCGACGTTGCCAAGTGACACAGACGAGGTTCAGTCCGACGAAGTGCCCCATATCACACTAGAACAGACACAGGACTGGACGAATGTTACCATAGCATCGGAGCTCAACGCTGATGCACGACAGCAAGCCACAGCGGTTCTTAAAGAATTCAGAGACGTTTTCTCAGATGTACCTGGGAAGACTGACATTGTTCACTGTGAGTTGAAGCTTACATCAGAGGCTCCCATACAGGTACGACAGTACCCGCTACCTTTTACTGTCAAAGGTGACGTCGAGGAGGAAGTGAAGGACATGCTGCAGTTAGGTGTCATTGAAAGGTCAACGTCAGCCTATCACTCGCCCATAGTGGTCGTCAAAAAGAAAGATGACACCATGCGTTTGTCTATTGACTTCCGACAACTGAACAAGGTCATACTTCCGGATTGTGAGCCGATCCTTCGCACAGATACGATGTTCGCTAAGCTTACGGGATGCAACTACTTCTCGCGCTTTGATTTTACTAAAGGATACTGGCAGGTACCTATGGCCAGTCAGTCGAGAGAGCTCACGGCTTTCTCATGTGAATCTGGCTTGTACCACTTCAACTTTATGCCCTTCGGCATCAAGACAGCGCCGGCAGTATTTATTCCGTTAATGCGAGTCGTCACCGAGGGGATTCCCAATGTGCTATATTACTTTGACGATGTACTCGTCGCTACTGAAACATGAGAAGAACACTTGGTAACCCTAAAGAGTTTGTTGGAGCGCGTCAGAGCGGCTCGTCTAACTATAAAACCAGCGAAATGTGCGGTCGGCTGTCCGACTACCACTTTTTTGGGCCACACTGTTGGGCAAGGTATGCTGCAGACGAGTAAGAGCATTACTGATAAGATACAAGCAGCTGTGCCGCCAAGTACCAAGAAGGAATTGAAAGCCTTTCTCGGCCTATCAGGTTATTACCACGACTTTTTGCCCAATTACACTGAGTTGACATTTCCGCTCACAGAACTTAAAAAGAAAGGCCACCCCAATAAGTTATTATGGGGTGAAGAACATGAGAGAGCGTTTCGACAAGTGCAGAATCTATTGTCCACGCAGCCTGTGCTGAAGTCACCCGACTTGCATAAGCCCTTTGTTCTGCGCACGGATGCGTCTTCGCGGAGCTTAGGAGCAGTATTGCTCCAGGAACACCAAGGCCGTCTGCACCCAGTTTCCTACGCGAGCCGTAAATTACTACCCCGCGAAGCAGCCTACTCCACAATTGAAAGAGAAGGCCTTGCCGTAGTCTGTGCTGTTCCCAAATACCACATTTTTCTCTATGGCAAGCCGTTCACGTTGCAATGTGACCACCAGCCATTGACTTATATTCAGTCAGCTAGGCACCTAAATAATCGAGTCCTGCGGTGGAGTCTCCTTTTTATGGAATATGACTTTCACGTGGAACACATTCGTGGTGGGAACAACGTTGGTGCCGACTATATGAGTCGTGCGGCTTTTACCGAGCAGTGACTTATTGCCGTTGTACACAATTTTTTTATCATGTTGTCATCATAGTGCAATTGGTTTTTTTTTACATCTAAACTGTGACATTGAAAGTGTGCGGAACCTTTGTTATATTCGGGAACTGTGTCTTATACCCGTGACACACGGACAAAAGTAAAGTACTTTGAAGTAAACCCCTTTTGTCGCCTAAGGGGACCATTTGCAGAAAGGAGTGGCGCTAATGACACACGGCACTGGGCTACTGCTTTAGGTGGTGTCTCAAAAGAACGCTGCAGAAAAAATGGCGCTGTTTGTGGAAGCAGCAAGATTGGAAATATTAAAAACAATCTGCGCATGTAGATCACATTCAGCGACGCCGGAGCATCAAACCGTTTTTTTTTATTGTCTGGTGGCTTATAAATAGCATACTTGTAATTTTCTTTCACCTTTTTGCGTCGTTTTTAGCAGCAACTTAAGTTCGTCTGGCAACTATGAACAATGGGTGTTTTGCTGTTTTCGTTTTTGTTTTTTGTCGTGCTTTTTACATGGCTGCGTTCAGCTTGGTCAGTGACGGCGTGCCGCGTTTCTTCGTGGTCCTGCGATGTCTCAGCGCAGAGACAGAGATAAAGCAACAGTTGAGGTGGGCCTGGCTCTTGTCGCCCTCGGCTCCATCGAAGATGAGCTAAACGCTGCGAAGGCAATTTTGCTGTGAATTTGCGCCCGTGTACGGGGAATACCGGCGTCGGTGAGGCTCTCGGCAATCGCCTGTTACACTCCACCGCTGTGCTTTTGCCCTTGCAAGGCGTCCAAATGGTCCTCCCATAGCTCTATCAGCGCCCAGGTCTCCTTTTCAGTCCACTGGACGCGCGGTTTTTTCTTCACCGACTGAGCCGACCCCACTGTTACAAGATACTACGTCACCGACACAGCAACTGCCGCTGCCAACCCTAACATGATCGCGCTAGTGACGTAATGTAGGCGTTTGAGAGTATGGACAGACTATAGGCCTTCACTTTTCAACAAATCGCACTGCTGCTGAAAATGAAAACATTTTCTCAGCGCAAAAAAATACTGACAGGGCACCGCAGTGTTGCGACACGTTTTCTTCTGTTGATAAATTATGCACACAGTATGCGAGAGTACTCCCTTCCTGCCAGAAAAGTAGATGCGGGATCTGCTTTTGCGAAAAGGATCTTTGCCGGAAAGGAGTTACTCCTTTGTCGTGTGTCACTGCGCCCAAACGCCTTTCCGAAAGATGTCCGCTTGTCTAAAGGACTTCAGGGTGCCCGTGTGTCAGGGGCATTACATGTGTACAACGTACTGGAAGTTGGGGGGAGTGTGGTAAGAGTGCTTCTCACAACCAAAATCGAAACTGGAAGTGAAACCGACAGCGGAAAATAACCGACGAAGACGAAAGTGTGCACGGGGTCAGACGAACGTGAGCGCGTGAGCTTCGGAACAGCGACGGGCAGAGGAAGAACGCGGCCAGCTAGCAAGAGCGCTAGGCGTTGGGCCTCAGGGGACCGAACCAACGAGCGGGTGTCACCAACCCAACCGGGACGAGCGTGGCATGTTCCTGAGGCGAGTGGCGGTTCCAGGCCGGGCCTGACATGCTGTTCCTGTGGCGGACGAGCGTGCGGGCCAGGGCAAGCGGCTGATCCTGTCCAGACTCGGGTCCGGCACAACCAGTCACCGAGATCGTGGCCACGGTGCCACGTCGGAGCCGGTCCGGCACAACCACCAATTGAAGCTGCGACCTCGGTGTTGCGTCGGCCGCAGCGTGGGGCCGCCTGGTCCAGCACGAGCAGCTGATGGTCTGCTCGTGAGCTCCCGTGCACTTGGCAACCTTCCCGTGGCGAGGTTGCGTCGTCGACGCCATCGTCTTCAGCGGGAGCGTGAGTGGCACCCGACGGAATTAGACTTCCGAGTAGTGAGGACGCGTGGGTTACTCGCGGGCGCGTAGACATAAGGACTGTATGACTGAATTACGGAGCCAGTGTGTTGTACAGATAGCCACAGTGTTGTGATCGTTTTGTGTGTGAAGTCAATAAATGTTTCTCTTGTCCTTGTCTTGGGTTTCTGCGTCTGAGGGCCCAAGAACCACCACAGTCCCCAAGAAAGACTATCGTATTAAAAAAAAAAAAACCTAGACAGCTTTGTCCAGGTCATTCGCCATATGCCTGGAAAATCATGGGGACCATCAATATCGTCTTCACTACAGCTAAACCAGGCACTTTT